AAGTAAGGTTAGGAAAGTTGGGCTCCGAAACAATTAATTGAGATGGCACAGTTTATTCATCCAGACGTAAATAAACAGCATAATATAATACATTTCTGACAAGGAAGGCATGTAGTTGTATCTGTCCTAAAAAACAATACTCAAAAGTTGAACATGAGATAACTATGAAACAGATATTTAGCACTTAACAAGGGGAGAACGCCAACAGTGATAAACGCGTGAATAATTCATTCAATCTGCTGGCATGACTCAGCCTCGCAGACGTGATCATTCTGTATAACCTGTCTTTACTCACATTGAATATATCATTCTGTCTTTAGCCTAAATGTGTGCTTTAAAAGCTCTGGATGTTACATTGCTAATGTTTACAATACGACGAGTTAGAGCAGACAATGATAGCACTCCCATGTAAGATCTCATGGGTTAGATAGTCATGTCATAATATATCTACAATGTTAGAACTAAGTCTATCATTACGGCAGTACTAATGACTGGTCTAGACCATAATTCTACGGGTATATGTCATTTTAACAAACGTGATCTATAAGTCACGACGTTAGTCTACATACAGTGTGCTTCATAAACAGAGTTGCTAAATAAATAATATCAGTAAAAATAAAAAATTGCGGATGTCCTAGAGAGTTATTGATTAGGTTTATGTTTTATTATTGCACTGAGTGTAGTTTTTATAATATTTTTCAAAAATGGCATCACTTCCACACTGAATATCAGATTTAAACTCGGCGTCATTGTAAATTCACTTGGTGTTGTTTTACTTGTATCTTCTCATTGTTATTTAGTACTGCAATTGATCATTATCTTTCTGGCATATGTGCATCCTGTACGGATTGCCTCGATATAGTCTTAAGTCACAAGCTTTATAAGCAAAGACGGATAGTGGCTAGCTGTGAAATCCAGGACGCTGGAATTCTGGCCGTGCTAAATATTTATGCAGTACCTGACCTGCCTTCTTTGTCCTTGATCAGTCTCCCTAGTTTAGTATATTTCCCTGTCAATTTCTCCGTCGTGTAATACAGTTGTTTGATATTTCCTTGTTTCAGCTTTCTCCACTGTCTTTGCTAACTTTTTCAGGTATTTCTGCCTGTCAACTCCGATGCCCTCCTTAAATGGTTTGTTTACTTTAGTGTATCCAGCCTGTTCCTTGACTGTCTCCGTTCTTGTTCGGCTGTCATTAATTGCCGTTTTCTTGTTCTTCCTTTCTTGAATCTTGTGTAGGGTTCCCATAGAGATCCATTATTTATGATGAGGCTCGTTGCCGTCTAAAAACTCCTGACTTGTTGAAGTTAATGCTTTTTTATACCTTTCCAGTTGTCCTCCATAGTCGTTTCTTCTCCTTTCAGTAGATCTTTTAAGGCTTGGAATCTCTTGTTGAGAGCTGACTTGAATTCATTGAGCTTGTCAGTAGGTCGAAGGAAGTCTGTAATGAATCTTGGTATCATAATTAAGTTTCTTTAAACTCGTACGCGTGAACCTTGACCTACTAAATGTTGGTTTAAGAATAGAAGGCTCTTCACATTTAATGTCGTATCTATTACCTACTGAAACAAAATGTCCGCATCTCATCCATTGTCCATACAAAAACGTTAGGATTTATGCTTGAAAACCTCAGAATTCAAAAAAGCGAATTAAGTAGTAGGATTGGAAGTTTCCTACGAAAGTTTTCTAACCGGTATTGTGTCCGATAATTAGTTTTATCTATGTAAATTCAGTTGTTTCTATAGGACCGAAAGGACACCGTAGGTGACGGGGTCGTATTTTTTCAAAGTCCCTGGAACTTTGACTCGAAGAGGAAACTGAACAACAAGGGTAATCACGGCTTCTGCTCAACAGAAGCTGCGCATAAACCCGATATCCCATCGAACCAGATTTGTTCATTCCTATGACCTGTTGGAGGATACCTGAAATGAAATTACCTTCGATTTTATTATACAGTGACCTCAGCATCATAAGTTTCTCCGCTTCAAAATATAGATCCTGATATTTCAAGGACATTCCAAGTGATTTGTAAAAATAATTCATTTGGTATGAAAACTTTTCAAGGTGTGATCTCATGGTACCTAACAAATAGGCTTCCGGATTGGATTTATTTTTTACCAGTGAGATAGCGTCGTCTTCCATCCAGTTGCACATAATGTTCATGATATCATTTCAGCGTTTTCATTGAGAAGCATATGAATTGAATTGACTTCAAATAAATATATTCCATCATAAGTGACTTGACTTCACCAGTCATTACCACTCTGTTCTACCTCACACTCTTCGTTTTTCCCTTCATTTTTTGCATCCTCTTAGCATACCACCGAAAACAAATATATGGAACGAATGACTTCGTCCTGCGCCTTTATCAGTACCTCCGTTATTTATCTGATAACACTACCAAGAAGCACAAAACAGAACACCAAAGCTGGCGTTTTCAACTGACTAGTTATGCATTTACCGTATTACTTCTTTTTATAGATAGTTCTATACTTTACTTACGTTCATTCTCGACCATTGGTTGCTTGTCGCAAGACAACCTATATGAAGCGCATCATCTCATGAACTGAACGTCCAAGTCTACTAACATTCCTCTTCTAATGTACGGAAATCCATTCTCCCGTTTCTATGACAAATGTGCCTTATAATATATCATCCTAACTGAGTAACTTATTACAGTAAATCCTGTAGCACTTGTAACAGTTTGATCTTGCCTGTAAACTAGCACTCCTTGTAAGATATATTTCTATTTGTTCAAACAAATGTTTTTCCGAATGATGTATTACTGCATTTCTCCTAGTAGCCACAGGTTAAACTAAGGAGGCTTCCTTTACGAACACACCAATATACCAGGCGTAATTGTATGGCTTCGGATATATGAGGTGTTGAGACATCTGAACCGATAATCTTATAGGGAAATACGGAAAAATTAGTTGACTAAAAACAATACTAAGTCAGGAAGTCTTCACATTTGAACAGTTGCTATGTCTCATTCTCGAGTGACCTGTGATGGTTTCGGTTCCTAACCACACGGTTCTTGAAGATGAACATATGATAACTCATAAAATTCACATTCAATATGCAACGCATGGAGGAGGTTAGTAATGGTCAACGCAGAAACAAGTGGTCACAGTAACGTGACTCAGACATACAGGAGTTGTCATTCTGTATAATTTGTCTTTACTCACATTGAATATATTATTCTATCTCCAGCTCAAATGTGTCCTTCAGAGGCTCTAAACATCATATTACTGATATCACGATAGGGTGAATCAGTGTAGATAACGGTGTAACTCACATAAGATCCTATGGATTCAGTAATCCCATCTTGACAAATCTAAGATTTCGAGGTTAGGTCTATTTAATAACAAGAAAGACAAATGTACCAGTACCGAATCAGACCATAATTCTACAGACCTAAGTCAAATGGGTTTTGAATACTCCCAACCCATGGAATAACTCAATCCATTTAACTCTAATCATTATTGTTGAAAAGGTTTACAATGTCGATAGAAGTACAATAATGTCTCATTCTTTTGTCAGTTAACTTCCCTTGTCATACTCTTTTATATGAAGATGGTTGTTAAATCTGGAAAAAAAATAAGTGACCACACAGAAACCACCAACACTCAAGATGACTAGAACAGTGGAATAAACTATAGGTTCTTTACTAATTAAATTCAGATTTATATAGTTAGGATAAACGGCCAACGGCCTATGTTAGTCTCTTTCTAATAAGCTTCTAAGAGTATCTAGTCTTATTTCGAATAATTCAACTAGAAGGGCGGACACCACTTCTTTGGATAAGAGATTTCAAAAATGGATGACTCAATGTGAAAATTTGTATATCACGTTTATTTTGTTCGTTCCTGGCTTTGCTACTCGCCAGCTATGTCTCCTGGGTTGTTCTGATCTGGTAGAAATAAAAAAAGAGGATATATTAGGCCCGAATCACTTCTTAGTATTCTGTACATCGCAATCAGATCATCTCTTAAGCTGTGGTAAGACAGAATAGAGGTCCAGCTTCTCAAGGCGCTCTTTAAACCGTCAACCTAAGACTTCTGGATTCGCACGAATGACTGCTCTTTGTACTTCTTCCAGGATATCCAAGTCACGTTTTGAACAATGGCTTGCAGCCTGAACGCAGTTTTCGAGTTTGGATCACACTAAGGTTGTGTACAATGTAGTCAACATATTGGTATCTAACTTGACAAATGGCCATCTTAAAACTCATAGGTTTCGAAACCCCTTAGTCGCGACTGCACGGCAGTTGACTGTGATCCTGAGATCACTGTTGTCCCACGACCAGCATGACACTGAGCTAAAGGCATCGACTCCTTCTCTATGCTGTAACTATTTGCTTTCGTATTTCTAAAGTGCATATAGACATGTTTGACTGCGCTGATGGGCAACAGTCATTGTTAGACCAGCTAATCAAAACATCTAAGTTTTCCTGGAGTGCACATGCATCCTTGTCTCCTGTTATTTCTCGCCAGATTTTTGTATTAGCGTATAGTAGCATAGAGGACTTGTAACAGCATAGGTTGGTTGGTTAAGAGTTGACCCCAAACAACCAAGCATATGCCAAAACAGTATTGTTCAAGTATTCATTCACTTCCTTCTTTTGTATAAGCGTTATATTCCTTATTATCTTATATTGAATGCTGAAAGCCTTTGTTTGTCTGAACAGATAATCCCACGCTCCACTGTGACTGCGCTAAGATCGAAATAAAGACTTCATTCAAATATTGTCTGGATTCTTCTATCAATAACACGAGGGTTACCTATAGGCACGAAATTGGTGAGCCCTTTTTGAACACACATTAACCTCATTTTTGTTATTAATATTATTTTTTTTACTCAATCGTAAAAGTAGACCTGATTATCCGTAAACTAAGTTGGGTATATAAATAGTTTATTCTTTTTATTATCTTAAGTTATTCGTGTCATAGAAACCTTTTTTTTCTCGTGCTAATTTTATTGCTATATTTGTCACATACCTCATGTCAGACTTAAAAGAAACCCATAATCTGGAGGATTTGTCACCAGTGGAGATAGACACTGTTATGACTACGAAATCTCGACTTCCAGAATTTGATCGTAGTGATCCTGAGTTGTGGTTTGCTCAACTCGAGCATTATTTCACGAGACACAATATCAAATCTGAAGGGATTCGCTATAGAGATTTGTGTTCTATCCTTCCTCCTTCAGTCGCCAAAGAAGTCCGTGACTTGATTTTAGATCCACCATCACCACAACCGTACACCGTCTTAAGACGAGAGATAATGAACCGTTTATCATTATCAGATAGTCAAAGAATCCAAAGACTTTTTCAAGGTGAAACACTAGGTGATCGGTCGCCGTCACAGTTTCTACGTCACCTCCAAGTCTTAGTGGGTGATAACACAGTGGGTGAAGCAGTCCTAAAACAAGGATGGATACAAGCTCTCCCATGCTACGTCCAACACTGTTTGGATGCACAAGATCCTGAAACCTCATTATCTCATTTAGCGCGTATAGCTGATAGAATAATGGAAAGAGGTCCTCCAACTGGATCAGGCGCAATAAATCACACACAGAGAGTAGAATCAGCAAAAGACCCCGTCATAGAAGGACTCATTGCGAGTGTTAAGAGTCTCACTGAGGCTGTCACCAGAATGCAAATGGGTCATACAAACAGTAGCAGGTCACCACAACGATCACGATCCAAGTCACAAAATAGGTCACAAATGTCCAGACAATCTGGGCAGTTTTGTTGGTACCACTGGAAGTTTGGTGTCAACTCAACCAAGTGCAGGCAACCATGCGCCTGGCCTAAGCATAATTCCAAGACAGCGGGAAACGAGTAACCCCTCCCCAGGTCGCGACAACTGAGGAGGGGCGCCTAAACAGTCGCTTGTTTTATGTCATTGACAGAAACTCGGGCTTGAATTTCTTGGTGGACACTGGCGCTGCTCTTAGCATCATCCCTCGAAATAAAACTGAGATTAGTCGAGAAACATCCCCGATTACACTTCAAGCTGCAAATAAAACTACAATCGCGACATTTGGGCAGAAAACGTTAACCCTAGATTTGGGGTTCAGAAGGCAATTCCCTTGGGTTTTCACGGTAGCCGACTTAGATCTGGCAATACTGGGGATGGACTTTCTAGAGAGATACGAATTTCTAGTTGACACCAAGAAACGGCGATTAACACTAAAAGAAACTTCGTTTTACACAAAAGGCAAAGAAAGTCACATCAGCTCTCTTAACTTGATTCAAACCCCTCCAGTAACAACAGCGAAATTCCAAGATATACTCGCGGAATTTCCAAACTTAACCAAACCAAACCCACAGCCTTCCAAAGACAAACTAAAAGTAAGTCACACTATCAAAACCGAAGGTGCACCGGTGTTTGCAAAACCCAGGAGACTAGCACCAGATAAGCTCAAAATCGCTAGAGCCGAGTTTGATTATATGCTACAACTGGGTATTATCCGTCCGTCTGATAGTCAATGGGCATCCCCTTTGCATATGGTCCCAAAGAAGAATGAAGGTGACTGGCGACCGTGCGGGGATTACAGAGCCCTCAACCGTCAAACCGTACCAGATAGGTACCCAATACCGCATATCCAAGATTTCACAAACGGTTTACAGGGTATGAACATATTCACTAAAATTGACTTAGTCAGGGCATATCACAATATCCCGGTGGCTGATGAAGATATCCCTAAGACAGCTATTACAACACCCTTTGGCTTATTCGAGTTTGTACGCATGCCATTCGGCCTGAGAAATGCGGCACAGACATTTCATAGATAACCTACTTCGAGATATGCCATTTGCGCAGGGGTATATAGACGACTTGTTAATTGCCAGCCCCGATTTGCAATCACACGAAGAGCATGTACGAGCAGTGTTGACAAGATTGAATGAACATGGAATAAACATACATCAAAGTAAGTGTGTTTTCGGTGTTCAAACTTTAGAATTTCTTGGTCACACAATAAGCCCAGAAGGGATTAAACCTATAAAAAAAGAAGTGGATACCATCAAACAATACCCGATACCTAGCTCTCTAACACAAATGAGAAGTTTTCTAGGTCTAATTAACTTTTATCGCAGATTCATACCAGGTTGTGCACAATTAATGCAACCTTTAACAGATTTACTTAAAGGAAAACCAAAAGAATTCAAACTGTCTTCTGACGCCGTCGAAGCTATTAAACAGCTTAAAGATAAACTGGCTCAAGCAACTACGTTGATATATCCGAATTCTCTTTCCCCACTTGCTTTGATGGTGGATGCTTCAGATAAAGCAGTAGGCGGTACCCTTAACCAACTGGTTAAAAACGCCTGGAAACCAATTGCTTTCTTCTCGAAAAGACTCGCTCCAGCTGAGACAAGGTATTCTACCTTCGGGCGAGAACTTCTTGCAATCTACCTGACTATTAAACACTTCCGACACATGTTAGAAGGTAGGGAATTTATAGTCTTTACGGATCACAAACCACTGACGAATGCATTAAAAGCGAGAGCCGATAAGTACTCACCTCGAGAAGTCCGACACCTTGACTATATATCACAGTTCACAAGCGATATCCGACATGTCAAAGGTCAGGACAATCAGGCGGCAGATGCTTTATCCAGACTAGAAATGAACGTGGTACAGCAGTCTACAGTAAACTTCGAGACGTTGAGACACGAACAAGAGCAGGACCTAGAATTACAAAACCTACTCAAAACAAACAATTCAAGTCTTAATTTAAAACAGTTCCCATCACCTATCGATGGTATTCTAATTTACTGTGACACGACCAAGGCAATGCCGCGACCTTTCGTTCCCAAAAATATGCGAAAGTTGATATATAATAACTTTCATTCTTTGTCTCATCCTGGAGCAAAAGCTTCAACTAAACTAATCAATGCCAGATATATATATGGCCGAATTTACAGAAGGATGTACACAAATGGGTTAGAGAGTGTTCAGCATGCCAACAATCAAAGATTAATCGTCACACAAATTCACCCATAGGTGTTTTTCTCGCAACCAGATGCACGTTTTGCACATGTGCATATCGACTTGGTAGGTCCTTTACCCCGTTCAAATGGTTTTAATTTGTAGAACTTATGGTCTACTATGATATTAGTACTGCTCTAATAATAGACCTAATCCTAAATTTGTAGATTTGTCATGATATGACTGCCTAATCTATAAGATCTTACGTGGAAGTCACACCATCGAATACACCAACTCACTGTATCGTATCAATTACCAATACATGATGTAGAACAAGGTTAGGCTAGAGAAAGAACAATATATTTAATATGAAAAGAAGATATAAGGTAACATTCAGCAGAGACCACGCCTGCATGGCCGAGCCATGCCGTTCGATCAACTCTAGTTCATTCAATTCATTAGTCGCGCCTTCTCCATCGTTAGGTATTTCTTCGCGTTAAATATTGAATATCTATTTTCTGAGTAATCTCGTATTCAGCTTTGAGGATTGTGTGGTTATGGTCCAATGCCACTACACTACTCTCCCACCAGAATCAACGTGGTGTTGGTTCGATACCAAATTGGATGGGACTGTAGTGTCCCGAAGGTTACCAAGACTAGTAATAATCCTCCGGGTGATGACAAGCTGAAAGATAAATCAAAAAGAAGACGGCAGCATCTGGTCGGGAAATACATGTAATAATTTTAAAATATTTGCCTTCATGCTTACAATAAAAATTTGAGTGATTATTTGTGCTATAAAAAAATGGGATTATAATAATAATAATAAAAAAACGATGCGTGTTAATAGTCGTTGGTTAATAACTTAACGTATAGGTAGTAAGTATTTTGTGTTTAGAAATATTAAAGTTATGAATATTGTAGAAATGTTAATATTAGTACTACTTTTAGTCTAACTTATGAAATCAAATAACGATTATGCCGGTAAGTTGTCCATATGAGTCGATTTCCAATTGCATCTGTATTAGTAGGCTAACTGAAGGAACAAAAGTATTACCGTGGAGAAGAATTCCAACTAGTGTTCCAGTTAGTTTGATACGGTTTATTTAGTTACGGGGAGATTTTCTCAACCCTATGTTTACCTGACCGTGATAGAATTTAGTATTACTACTAATACAAATGAATGGTTATCAAAACAAAATTTAAATACGTGAGTGATAATTATGTGAATTTTGGACAGATAACTAGAAACAAATCGTTAAACATGAGTGTATTCGTAAGAGACATGCTCTAGACTCAATGTTCTGATCTGCGACAGACTATTTATTTATATTTATACTTGCCGGCTGATGATACATACAAGTTAGTTGCAAATACGCAGTTTATCATAAGGCGAAATACGATTTAATTGAGATATAATGGTTATACGTTATTGAAATTAGTTAAACCTATGTGTCATATTACTAAGTGATGTAGTGCTGCAGGATGTATTTGGCTAAATAAGTTTTTACAAGATGATTAAATAGTGAGTGATGCTCATGTGATTATCAGGGAGGACATAAGTTGTAACCAAGGGGAGTGCACTCCCAACTCATGCCTATGATAATAGCTTGAACCTTAGTCAGTGTTGGGGTAAATTCGACATTGATGTTTTCAGTTTGCAGGATATTTGCTCGACTGCTTATACTGATTATTTGCATGCATGATTGTGTCGCTAAACCATCAATTATACTGACAAAGTTTCGAGATATTTACTGAATGAGCAACTGATAGAGAAACATACTGTAATCATCTGTAGTGAATGAAGAAAAACAACACTAGTGATAATTATAAGTCAATTTGCTGACCGATTTTGTTAATAGTTTCATTAATTTTATCAATCATATTACGTGATTGTCAAGTCATGACAATGCTTTATGAAGATATCCTGAAACTATTATGTTTAATTAGTTATAGTGTTGATTGAAGATTGGCCAGTGGAAAAATAGGCATTGTTGTTTTAGGTGATTCAAAATTATCAGAAATTCCTAACGTTAAAGAATCCGAGACGCCTAATTTAATTATAAATTTCAATTCAGAAATATTTGTTTAATGTTAATTCTAGTAGGCTACGGAGTTTAGATTTTAAAAGTTTGTTCAACCAACAACTACCTAAGGATTTAGTAATTTTACTAGTGCAGTTGATAGTACCTAAATTTTTAATCTTATTATCTAAATTATGTTTGCATTTTAGACTGCTAATATGATAAACCAATCCATAAATCCAAATACGATTAGCAGCAACGACTATGATGAGTTTATTAATAAATGTTAGAGGCGATCCAGATGATTTCTAAATTTAGAAGACATGGAGATATAGTGTAACGTATGTATGAACCAGGCTAACATGCAGGTTGTTGACGTATATGACGATTTAAAAATAATGAACATGACCAGACAAGTAATTTTAAAGTTTAGACTGCTTGTGAAACTTCAGGCAGGAATATGATGCGTTATAAACATTCTATAAGAAGTTACTGCATTTAGCCTAAAGATAATTATAAATATGTGGCAAACGCAACTGGAAAACATATACATGTTAAGTACAGAAAAATCATCCAGTAAAATAGTTGAACTCGCCTGGATTATTTTTGAAAATTAGATTATTCAGTGGACGACATATATAACGCCATTCGTGAGGAGTAATGATCCAAAAGTATCCACAATAAAACATGCAGTATGGCAATTAATTCCAGGGTGCTTGATGCTGTTGCCACTCGCTCAAATCAAAACAATCGAATGAATCCAGATAATTGTGTCAGCCATTGAACGAGCCATCTAAAATGACCTTATGATTGCAGGAAACTTATGGCTGAAACTCACCGTATGTTTTTAGATAAGTGTCATCCTTGTTGTTTGGCAATGGAACT